GAAGGAAACTGATACATGACTTTAATGTAGTTTTCATCTACTTCAAAACCTCTAAGTAAACTCAAAGCAAACAATTATCTTCAGAAGTCACATAAAAATTGTCAGACATGAGATCAATTTAATTTAATCCCATTGCGTACACAGCTGTTCTATGAAGGTGTAGACAACATCTGCAGGAATGCTGTGGTTAGGCTGGGCATTTATCTGTGACACGCAACACTGATTACTGATACAGGACACCTGAGGACTTGGAAAGGCCATCAGCTTTTTAAACCCCAGACCACCGACTAACTCGCATCTGCTATAGATCATTTTGATTTCACATAGCAGCACTTTCACATACATCCTCCACTCAGGCACACCGTACTGATTTCACTTTCACACGTCGTATTAGGAGCTTGGATTTTTACCTGGTGATGATGGAAATATTAGGTTGTCCTGCTGCTCAAAATTGGAATTGCTGGAGGATATTTGTTATTTATTTATTTTTTCTATAATTATTTTAAATCTTCCAAATATTTGATCAACAGCGTTTTGTGTCATTTTGGACTTGCTTGTGAAAATCTGAACTATGTTTTGATCACTAATGTCAGGCTGTGTACCACATGCGTGAAAAGTTACTGCTTTACAAAGAAACTGTAATGAAAACAGATTTGTAGCCACAACTCACATTTATTGATTTGGATCCAGCTTGACACATTAATCTTTGATTTAACCATTAAGCATACGATGTAATGATGAAAAAAATGGGAAATTTACTTGGAGCTATCTTCGAACAGACAAGCATGTGGTAGTAATACCGTCGATCACTGTTGAGTTCAGCTGCTCATGAGGTTGGTCACATCCATCTTTTGCATTTTTCCAGACTCCATTTGGGTTTTGGGAATGGAGTAAACTCTATTCCACCCTCTAAGTACTCTGGGTAAAGCATGTCTTATGTGCATGTTCCCCAATGACAATGTTTAACATTTATTTCACCAAACCTCTATCACCACAGGGCATTCATTAATGATAAACCCAGGCAATTTTGGTTTACTGCAAGAAAAACTGTGACTCCTGAATTGTCAGTTGTTGACAAACACAGTGGATTGAATGACAGGTGATGTCATGTCAACTGGGTGCTTGTCCGGGATTTGAACCCGGGACGCATCTCAGGTCTTAACAAAATGGTTCAGAGGCTTGTTGGAGAACATTAGTGAACAAAGAGTCTCATGAAGACCAAAGAACACAGCGGACAGAGCTCAAGGAGAAATGTAAGGAGAAGTTTAAACCAGGGTCAAGTTACTGACCCTAGTCTCAGAACAGAATTTTTTTGTCATGTTTTATACACTTGGACAACAATGTAGATATTTTGCTTCAAGAACTTCAAGCATCTGGTTTTTGAATATGCAAGAAAACAATACTTTTGTGAAATGAGGGATTATGTGCATTTGTATGATTCTTCAATCAAATAACTACTATAATAATAATTTTGTCAAATGCTGAACTCCCCTGGATGAAAATTACAACATCGTCGTTCACGGAAGAGGCTGTCTGCAGAAAAGTGTGACACTCTCTATTGTAAAAGCGAAACAGAAGATGCAGGAAAGTAGGAGGAAACCGCAGGTATGGGGCATAATATGTGATGTACCAAAGGAGGTGTGTATCATTGTATGAAAGGTGTGTGCAACTGCTAACAACCAGAAACCACGTGACTGTGCATCAACTGTTCAGCTTCAGATGAAGTATGTGGGTGTCAACTTGTGCACCTCACAAATCTAGCCTTTCTGGAGGAGTGGCAAGGAGGGGGAAAAAATCATTGTTAAAGAAAGTCAGAAATATTTTCTTCAGTGATAGGGAAGCTGGAGATAGTTGGTGGAAAAATGGATGAAGATAGATACAGGCCAAAACTTTAAGAACATTTGTTGGAGGCTGGAGAAGAGTTGAGACAGGGACAAGGATTCACCTTCAATCAAAGCAACAATCCTAAAGATTCAGAGCCAGCATGGAATAACTTAGATCAGAACATGTTCATGTGCAGGAATAGCCCACTTAAAGTCCAGACATAAATCCAGCTGACAATTTTTGTTAAGTTATGAAAATTGATGTTCACAGACACTGAACTATTTTGCAGAGAAGAACGGGAAAAGATTTCCGACTGTGGATGTGCAAAGCTGGTAGAGACATACCCCGAAACACCTACAGCTGTGATTGTAGCAAAATGTGGCTCGGAGCATTGACTCTGGAGGCCAGTTGTAAAAAAAACATTTACCATATTGTTGTGCCTTGGTTTGTGTCAGCCCTGCAGACAAAGCCAAGTAAAATAGGTAATAGTTTGTGACTCTAATGTGACAGAATATGAAAGACTTTAGGGGCATGATTACTTTTGCATCCACATATGTAACTTGGAGCAACTGGTGCAGAATTACATTTAGAAAATGCAGCTGAAACAGCAGATGTGGACTTAGGTAAGAATATTTTTGGAGGTATTTTGTTTACCCGAGTGTGGGACCTTCTTTCAGTAAATTCCCATTAATGTAGGGAAGTTACAAGGTGGCAAAAAATCTGAGAATTGTTATTTTAGCTCCGGTCCACCCAGCCTGCTTCTGCTGGTTTCCCCTCTCGCTGCCTGAATCATAAAAGGTCAGGAAGCAGCATGACCCCAATCAAGCCTGTAAATGTGGTCTCATAACCTGCCAGAGGTCTCGGACTGCACGCGGCTCGGCTCGGCTCAGTCCAGCTTACGGCGGCGAGGGCCCCGGTGAGTCAAAAAACCACGGAGAAACACAACTATTTCTGAGCGACCAAACGCCGGGCCCAGCCCTCCGCTCGTTCACAAGTCACAACACAACGTTTACACAACCAGGCCTGCTGCGGTCTGCGTCCCACTGAAAATACCTTGGTACAAAGTCAGAATGTTTTCTTGGCACACTCCGTCTCAGACGGGCCGAGCATAATGACATTTTCAGCGATAGGCCCCTGGCTCGCTGAAATGCAATGCCTTTGACAGATGTCTCGGTCTGCAATTACAAAAAACTTAAGATACACCAAACGGGAGAGAGAGAGTCAGAAAGAAAGAGAGAGTGAGAGTGCTGGGTGTTGTGGTTTCTTCTGCAGGAAAGCTACTGGGGGAGTATCAGGTTCTACTGGTTATCTCTGCCACATCTCAGCTATCTAAACATCTCCGAACACGAAAGCACATGCAGGGCAGAGAGTGCGTCTGGAGAGCACATGCTGTTGCCGAACTAATTATGGGAAAATAAATTCACCCTGCTGACAGTGAGTTGTGACAGAATGCAGGCAAGAGTGGTGGGATAGATTAAAAAATAATAATAATGTTTTAGTCATTCTGCTATTTTAATTCAAAAGTTCTTAAGTTGGTAATAATCAAACTTTTCAGGAGAAACAATGCCTGCCTGGCCAGACTGAGCTTTATTGTTGCACAAATAGGTCCTATAAATGCTGAGCTGGCTATTGAGGTTTTGAGAATGCCTTAATATAGAAGTGCAACACGTTTGTGTTTGATTTTTTTATTGATTTTTTTTGGTAATGTCTATTTCAGGTGTCTTTCTGGCAGCCACATCAGAAACGCTGCCACAGATGTTTTTTTCCCTAGATATGAACTTCTCTTTCCCCCACCCCCTTTTTTTTTGTTTTTTTACAACTCAAACTGCTCAAGGTGATAAAGTGCTGCAGACTTAAAAACAGTCCTTCTAGAGAAAAGTAGTTCTCAATGCCACTAATTTAAAACCTAAATAATTCTATTACACTAAGTAAAGAGAATACAAACTAAGATTTATGGTTTTCTTAGGAGGCCTGAACATGTTTGTTTTTGGGGGTTTTTCCCCAACTCCCTTTGCTATGTTTTTCCCACAGCGACAGCACCATACAAAGACAAAATTCCTGACATTTCTGTTATGATTGGAGCCCATTTTGGCCCATTTTTATACTTTGCTTTATTGAGCATAAGCTGCTCATGTTACCAGCTAATCAAGTCTCGACCTTTATCGGGATCAGCGCTTCTTCAAAACCCACTGATGTCAAATGTTTCACCACTGGGGCTGCAGAAGAACTGTGAGCGTAGAGATAACAGAGACTTGCAAAACTATTCACAGTTCTTTAACCTTTTCACATGATGACATGCTCCAGCTACAAACTTTGGTGGATTTTGCTGGGATTTCAGTGGACCAACACAAAGCAGTGAATCGTCTGAAAGCAGGAGGAAAATTATGTCTTCAATGTTTCTTTTTTTTATATGGGATAATCCGAAAAGTGTGGAGTACAATTGTATTCAACTTCCTGAGTCGCTGAAGTCACATGAACACTTTTTAAATGTAAAAAACAAAACTTGAAGAGCATGTGTCCTCTTGTCTCCATTTCACCATGATGACTTTAATGCATCTTAAAATATTAACAAAATACGCTGAAGTTTGTGGTGATGATATGACAAAATGTGAAAAAGTTGAATACGTCAGCAATAAACTGAATGTAGCATTTTTTATGTTTTTAACGTTTCCCCTCTGCAGTCACATCACACATTATGTAGGTTTGTGGGCTTCTTTCGGGAAAGTCTCCATGTTTTTAGAGCAATAAATCAGTTTTCTGTTGCAACCACAGGTCAATTTGCTACCTTATCATGAAGTCAAATGTAACAGAAGATAAAACGTATTCATGACTGCTATTGCAGAAGGTTTATGACAAACACCAGCGCGAACTCCGCGCTGAGATCTAATCGGTTCCTTTACCCGAGGCAGCAACAGCTCAATCTTCAAACGTCCCCCTCCCCGCCAAGACACACAAATCCCTCTTAAATCATCAACTTGCCAAACTGTTGCACAGATCAAGCCCAGTGGGATTTTGCTTCACTAAATTATCTCTGATTGCTGTAATTATCAAAGCCTCAGAAAATCACGCTTTTTTCCTTGTTCGTCTTTTCTTTGAACTCATCTCTTTTTCCGCTCACTCACACGTGTGTGTTACGAATCACCGCTTTGGACAAACCACAACCTGTAAACACTGACCTGATATGAAGGATCCTGGTGGCATCTGGCTGTAGTTGGCTCCTCCCATGTGCAGGGCGCTTGGCGGGGCCGGGGTGAACGGTGCGCCGTAGTTCTGAGGGGTGGCATAAGGTCCCGGCGGTATGGGCTGCGCGAAGGCGGAGAAAATTGTGTTATTAAAAAAATTCAACAAAAACAAAAGAGACACCTTGACTGGATGTTATGCAAGCTGAAAAAGAAATGCTGAATAAGTGATTGTGGAGTCAAGAAGAGCAGATGGGTGACAGAATAAAAAGGCAATGTGTTTTCATTGGATGCCCTCCATCTATTGCTTTTCCACTGGCGGACGGAGCAGGTTTCAGCTTGTGAGTGAACCCGTGTGTCAAAGTGTGTTGAGGTGTGTTTGGGCCGCTGACCGGAGGCGTGTGCGTCTCGGTGCCCTTGCTGGCGAGCCGGCTGAGGATGCTCCGCTCCGACATCTGCAGGCGGGCGGCGATGGGCGGGACTCGGGACAGCGTGGCGGGCAGCCGGGTCACGTCGGCCTTCATGTCGCTCAGCAGCTCCTCCAGCTGGTTCAACACTGCAGCGACAAGAAGCAAGAAGCTGTTATATAACAGCTTTCAAACGATGCTGGACGGTTTTCCGAACAAATCAATATTTCTTATTCTGACCACCCAACGAGAAATTTTTTAATTTAATTTTTTTTCTCTTGACACTGACTTTTAGATGGAATCATATTTCTAAGATATGAGAGTTTATTTTCTTCATCTCTCTTTTATCACATCCTTACATTAAGTTAATCTTTGATCACAAGCTCAGATACAAACGAGGATGAATACTGGAACAAACATGGCTGGGTTCACTTGGGAGCCAGAGAGGAAGTGTTTGGAGCCATCACTTAACACAGTGAAAGCTTATCTTCTCTACATGACTGAAGCTTTCTCGGGGCGAAGCCGTGTGGTCGACACAGCAGGAAAGATTGCACGACAGACGGGTTGATCTGAATCTCTTTTATTGTTTGCCTGTGATTATCTGTCTGCCAATTTTTTTTTCCTTCAACTTTTCCCTGAATGCGGTTGCCTAACTATCCTTGGCCGAGCTTCTCGCCGTCAATTATAAATGGAAATTAAAGTCAGTTCCCATCCCAAAAAGTGACAAGGTTTCTGACAATATGGGATTGTACTAATGGGAGACATTTTAGTCTTTGGATGATCTAGTTGAGTTGTTCTTTTTCCAGAGCGAAATCAAGACTAGCCTAAAAACTGAAATCAGAAAAAGTTTATTTAATTCACACGGGGTCACATGATGTTAAGATAAGTGGGCCTTTGCGTGTGGCAGAAAAGCCACACACTTTTTGCAGTCATCTTTAAAGTTCTGGTCATGATTCTGCCTGTTTTGGTAATCTTGTTTGTTTTTGGGGGGTTTTAAAAACTCACTCACTTTCAAGATTTTATCCTTTAAGATGCCACTTTAATTTCTTTTCTTTTGTTATTCATTCCAAAAAAAATAAAACCCCAACAAACTCAAAAAATGTATTATTTTCCGGAAAATAATAAGATGGAAGATGGCGATTATAGCCCAGGATGAGTCAAAAATTAGCAACAAAACTGATTTGACTCCATTCATATTTTTAGTAAGTACACCTTCCTGCCCAAAAATGCTCCACAGATTTCCATAAAAAAACAGAAACTTCTTCATCTCAGCGCCATGGCAGTATATTGGAGAGCTGTTTGAAAGGTCGTAAATCTAAGAACTGCAACAGAGTTAGACTGGTGGATTTTCCTTGTCCAGACTCGACTTAAAGTCATACTCCATAAATTTTTTAAAAGGGCTAAAGGTGGATTCTAGCTGTCGATTTTAGGGGGAAGTATTTTTTGGACATCGTACTTTCTTTTTCCACAAGATGTTAACTAATAAATATCCTTTGATCTAGACCATTCTACTGTAGCTCTGGATGTATCTTGTTTTGTTCTTTTGGAGGAACAGAAGAACAAAACCTCAAGCTGAGAGTGGGAATAGATTCTTCTTAAAACACTCCCATCAATTTTCTTTCATCAGAGGGTGAGTGTTTGGGGTCAGACGATTTAAACTTTGTCTATTTATGTCCATATTTACGAGAAAACCCACAGTATATTAAAATGTCAGCAGCAAATTCTTGTTTTCAAAAATAATTGAAGTTGCCTGTTGTACAACTAAGGGCAAATATTTATTCCTGTACTATTTATTATGAAATTTGTTTTGTAAAAATGTACATTATTATGGGAAATTATTTCTTTTGTCTTCCACAAGAGAATTCCAAATTCTCAGTGAATCAGTGAATTCCAAAATATGGTTAAATGCAGTAACTGTGTGCAGCTTGGTGTTATAAATCACACTTCTTTAAGTGACTGGAGTCCTTTTGAAAAATGTTTCAAATAAGAACGTTTTTCAAGAAGAGTATTTGTGTTTGTGGCACTATGAAGGATGTGCCATGCAGACATAGCTTCACAGTTATCTACATCTATATTTTTTAAAATAATTCCCATCATTATTGTAATATCACCACAATATTGCCCTATACATCCTGGAAAAAGAAAAACATGCTTAAATCAGAGATAAAATACCAAAACGAACACAAAATCCATCCCCAAGATGTGCATCTAAAGTTCTGATCACAACTGTATCCCGTATTGACGGTGTTGTCACTGACCTTTGTGCAGAACAGCGTTGGCTGGCTTGTTCCCTGCCAGCGACTCCTTGCTGAGGTGCTGGTGCGACTCCGCCAGGCACTCCACCTCAGCGAAGCGAGCGTTGAGCGCCATGGCCGGGTGGCTCGGGTCCTGGGTCATGTTTAGGTAAGCTGCCCGCCGCAACTGCTCCTCGATCACCAGCGCCTGCTCCAGCAGCTGCAGGGGGCCAGTAAGGAAACGACTCGTTACATATTGAGAAACACCAGTCCTGGGGTTCAATATATGCATCTAAGCTCAGATGAAATTATGTCATAAAGGAGGAAATCTGGACTGAAGACATAAAACTTAGAAACCTAATAAAATACATGTTTATATTACATGAAGAATTGATAATCTGACATTGATTATTAAACTGACACTAAATATTTAACTGATTCTGCAAGTTCCTATGGTATTTCTATGGGAAATACTTCTGCTTAGATATCAGGCAACTTCAAAACAAGGGAAATTCTAGTTCTATTTCATCCCTACTGACCGCCAGTGGTGGTGCATAAAGCACTGAATGATCTCTCTTGCACATGCACAGGTCAAGAATTTATACCAGCATGGTCATGTGTGGCCCCCGGTGACACTGGTAAGTTTATATCGTCACGTGACAATGACATCTAATCCCTTTTGATCTTCTCGCATGCAGGTTGAACAGGTGGTAAGACACTTGATTATTTGCTTGTCGCTGGTAGCCTCGATACTACAGTCGCTGGTGGTACGGCGTTGGCCGATTCTGACCAGTTTGTTTGCTTGGCCGTATTGGCTTGTATTTGTAGCTGGCAGCTGCATTCAAATTGCCTTTAGTTTGTTGTATTGCAACCATTTTCAGGATTGCTTTTTTCTTATATTGTGCCGCCATCTCTAGTTTGTCTTTATTTTATTATTGTAGCCGCTTCGGGCTTGCTTTTGTTATATTGTGCAGCCGTGTATGGCTTGCCTATTTTTTTGTTACATAGCGACCGTTTTGGGCTTGCTTTTTGTTACATAGCGGCCGTTTTGGGCTTGCTTTTTGTTACATAGCGGCCGTTTTGGGTTTGCTTTTGTTATATTGTGCAGCTGTGTTCGGCTTGCCTATTTTTTTTTTTTGTTACATAGCGGCCGTTTTCAGGCTTGCTTTTTGTTACATTGTACATTGCCTCTCAAATGACCCTCACTACCTCTGGCTGGAGCCTCCATCCCCCTCGGAAGTGTTGTAATGTCCGGTGAACAGCCTCCAACTACAAGGTGTTGATGTGCTGCAGTTTGTCCTGCAGAGACCATGTCCCCCGGGCAATCTGTTGCTGCCATGACGCCCCCTATCCTGTGGTGGATGCGTTGGTAGAGACAGGACGGCAGTGAGCTCAGGGGAACTCCCTTCATCATGAACACTGCATCTCGCCACTGAGCCAGTGATGCGAGGCAATGAGGGGACACCAGCAGTTTCCTGCGACAGTGCAGAGCACAGGATGAGTCCAGCCCTAGGCTGCTGAGCAGGGGTGGGCACTCCAGGTCCTCGAGGGCCGGTCTCCTGCAACTTTTAGATGTATCTCTACTTCAACACACCTGAGTCAAATAATGAGGTCATTAGCAGGTCTCTGGAGAACTTGATTGCATTTAGGAGGTGATTCAGCTATTGGATTCAGGTGTGTTGGATCAGGGAGACAACCAAGAGTTGCAGGACACCAGCCCTCGAAGACCAGGAATGCCCACCCCTGCTGTTGAGCCACATCTGCAGTGGTCGCAGAGACAACAGTCCCAGGGATATTACCATAGCGGCAGCAGTCAGCTTGCCCAACAGACGAAGATAAGCAATAAAGGGGGATGCACTGAAGCCTGGGCCGACCGCTCCGCGGCTGCAAGCGCAGCAGAGCCAAAAACTCCCCTGGAACCACTGGAAGACTCATCAGGGTCCTTCTACAGGCTTTGGTCAGAGGAGACTGTGCCAGCCAAACCTGGTGGGGTGTCTGGACAAGGGTAGACAGGACACGGCCAATTTCCCTTAATAAAAAAGCAAATCCATGAAGAGATGTGTCCATCAACCCGAGGAGGCACATCAATTGCAAAGCCATCCAAAGAGGCTGAGAGACCCAGTAATAAATGCGACAATGAGTTACCAAGTCACCCCAAATGAGACCCTGAGTCATAGGGTCTAGAAAGCAGATCATCTGTCACACGACATTGAGGATGAGGACACCTGGCATTAGCTCTCAAAGCCTCATCTGGCGCCACAATGAGGGATGCCAGAAGGCATATGGCCCAAGCCAAACTTGGGCGCATCTTGTATGGGCACCAGGGCCCTGCCATCAGAAGTAGGCCATAAGAAGGCCTTAGTGTCTGCCCAACAGGCATGAACTTCCTTCACATATTAGGCAGATGGGGGAACCATTAAGGACGACCTAGTAGTAGGACATCAAAAGAAAGCATTGGAAGCAGCAGGTTGGTTTTGTGAAGCATCCAGCTATCAAACCATCCTCTTCCGAGCAGGAAGAGATACGCGAACTGGCTGCAGACAGATGTGAGCCAGAGTCAAACTGATCTTGAAAATCAGTGTCAGATGGTGCCAGGGATATACCATCGTCTTCTAAAGCAAAGAGTCCTAAACCCATGCTCTGCACTGGGTCAGGGTCCTGAGTCAGACCAGCACCACACCCATCCCTAAGGAACTCGAGCAGCACTTTCATCCCCAGCAGCTCAGAAGTGAGATGAGCCATCTGCCAGATAGGCCCTCTGAATCCCTGGAGCTCTTCTTGGTCCACTTCTGCGGAGGCCCTATAGCCTCAGGAACCATATGCTTCACAGGCTGGCTGGCATCTTGAAAGTCAGCCAAATGAGCAGTACGCAGGGACAAGGGCAGGACAGAACAATTAGAGCAGGCTGCATCAGTCAAGGCTTATCTTAGGTGATCTGCCCCCAAACAAGAGGGACATAGATCATGCCCATCCTCCAACTCGAGAGGGGCCAAACAAGTTCTGCAGTACGGCACGTTCAGCATCTCACGCTCACAGGACTATGTCAGGTCAAGCTGAAATCTATCGACACATAAGCCGATGAGCAAATAGGCCAGTGAACCTGGTTGAGCAGAAAATGCCACCAGGGTTGCCCCAGCAGTGGAAAAAAGCTGCAAGGAGCACTACAAGCACTGTAGCTACAGAAAAAGTAGCTAAAAAAGGTCAACACTTAATGAGGCAAGCTGAACACGGATGCAGAATGTAACAAAAAACAAGCCCAAAACGGTCGCTATGTATCAAAAAAAATGGGCAAGCCGAACACGGATGCAGAATGTAACAAAAAGCAAGCCCAAAAACGGCCGCTATGTAACAAAAAATAGGTAAGCCGAACACGGATGCAGAATGTAACAAAAAGCAAGCCCAAAAACGGCCGCTATGTAACAAAAAATAGGTAAGCCGAACACGGATGCAGAATGTAACAAAAAGCAAGCCCAAAACGGTCGCTATGTAACAAAAAATAGGTAAGCTGAACACGGATGCAGAATGTAACAAAAAGCAAGCCCAAAAACGGCCGCTATGTAACAAAAAATAGGTAAGCCGAACACGGATGCAGAATGTAACAAAAAGCAAGCCCAAAAACGGCCGCTATGTAACCAAAAATAGGTAAGCCGAACACGGATGCAGAATGTAACAAAAAGCAAGCCCAAAAACGGCCGATATGTAACAAAAAATAGGTAAGCCGAACATGGATGCAGAATGTAACAAAAAGCAAGCCCAAAAACCACAGCTATGTATCAAAAAAATAGGCAAGCCAAACATGGCTGCACAATGTAACAAAAGCAAACCCGAAACAGCTGCAATTGATAAAATATATAAGCAAGCCAAACACAGCTGCACAATGTAACAAAAGCAAACCCGAAAATGCCCGATATGTAACAAAAAAAATAGGCAAGCCGAACACGGCTGCACAATGTAACAAAAAGCAAGCCCGAAAATCGCTGCTATGTAACAATAGCATGACACCAGCTGGCTCGGGAACAACCACCACAAGGGGAGTGGAGGCTCCACCCGGAGGTAGTGAGGGTCATTTGGGAGAAGTACAGCAATGCAGCTGTGGACCTATTTGCCTCCCAAGAGATGACACATTGCCCCCTTTGGTTCTCCCTGGCAGAAAGTGCGAGTCCCCTGGGTCAGGACGCACTGGCACACGACTGCCCTAAAGTGCTGTTCTATGCCTTCTGCCGCTTTCCCTGATAGGCCCGACACTCTTGAGGATTCGTCAGGAGGGGCATCAGGTCCTTCTAGTGGCCCCCCTGTAGCCGGGGAGAACCTGGTTTCCACTGCTGCACAGTCTCTGTTGCAGCTCTCCAAAGCCTCTTCCCCACAGGAAGGACCTTCTGTCACAGCTAAGGGGAAACCATCCTGCATCCCAATCCCAGTTGCCTCCAACTTTGGATTTGGCCACTACACGGCCCGGTGTTTCCTTCTCAGAGTATGACGGAGACACCAGACATACAATGTCTAATGCCAGGGCCGCTTCCACATGACTGGTGTATACCCATAAGTGGAAGGATGTCATGCTAGACATGAGGACCCTGTACACTGTTCTATTTCTGTTATTTTAACCTTCCTTCAAGCACTGCTTTCTCAGGGTTGGTTTCCATCCACTCTGAAAGTTTATGTTGCTACCATCTCTTGCTGGCATACAGTGGTAGGTGGAGAGACGATAGGGCGTAACAAGGATGTTTCTTTGTTTCTGAGAGGTGCCTGACATGTGCATCCTCCCACACACCCTGTTGAGCCTGTATGGGACCTCTCTCTCGTCCTCACTGCCCTGTAATCTCCTTCATTTGAACCGTTGGCAGAGGCGAGCCTCGAGTGTTGGTCAAAAAAGATATCTTTTCTCCTCGCCATGGCTTCAGCAAAGCTAGTGGGTGAACTCCATACGTCGTCCGTGCAAGAGTCCTGTTGCCATCGGAACCCAGCTGGTTCTGTCGTTACTCTTTGGTCTGATGTTGCGTTTCTCCCTAAGGTGGCCTCATCTGTGAGCCACTCTGTGCCCCTCCAGCTTGCTCGCTTTGACGGAGATGGGTCAGATGAGCCTCTCTGCCCTGTTTGGGCACTGGAAGCATATGTCAGACTCACAGCTTCTCTGTGGCAGTCTGATAGTCTGTTTGTTTGCTACGCAGGACCCCGCTAGGGGCCCTTTCCAAACATCTTCGCAAGAAGATTAAGGGACTGATCTGTTTTTGTCATGTGACTATATAGACTTACTGGTGTCACAGGTGACCATGTTGGTATAAGATTCTCGACCTGTGCATGCGCAAGAGTGATCATTCAGTGCTTTAAGCACCGCCACGGGCGGTCATTCGGGATTCATAGAACCGTAGCTACAGTCATAACTTTTGTTTCAGGTTTGAAAGTATTAACAAATTTCTATTTACTGAGTGGGAGAACAAGAGTTGGAGGAAAATATGTCACTTCTTCCATACAGAAAATCTTTCTTCCTCATTTTTTTTTGTCCACTTAACTATAATGTCAAGTCATCCTGGTTTCACTGTTCCTTGGAAATGGGGTGGCAACACATTTTTTTTTTTCTCTAGAACTTTGTTTGGTCGGAGAATCTCAGACGACCAACTAACTTATTTATTAACAGTTTATTGAAATGTTGCCAGGTGATGCATCTAAAACCAGAAAAAAAAAGTAATGTAAGACTTGCGAAACAACGCTTTATGTTTCTTGATAAACTGTTAACTAAATAAAAACACTAAAGACATGTCACTGTTTGATTAGATAATTCACAAAAAAGCAGAAGTTCCTAAAATTAATACCAACTTTAGTCACTGAAACCTTAAAAAAACCTGAGTATAAAGGAAATTATGATGTGGTCTATAAATTTGGTCACTCTCTTGTAATTGTTTACCAGTTAGCGGTGTTTTCCAGATCTGTAGGTCTTGTCAAATCTTACGTTGTATCATTATAGCAGTATGTGTTCTTCAAGCTGGATGCAACAAAGTCCATAAAGATTTGACGTAATAAAAACATCTTAACCAATATCCCAGGAAACATTTTGGTAAGACCTTCAGGGTAAATTAAAGAAAACATTAAATGATTGATTAAATGATTAAAAACTCTGATTCCCTAGAAGAAAACTATAAAATCATGAGAAAATGCCATAAAAGGGTACTTTGACCTTGTTGTCGTTTGACCGAAGTATTAAAAAGTAACGTTTTTTTTCATTTTCTGAGTCTGAAAATCAAAGATAAACAACCAATCAAATAGGAAAGATGAAGGTTCCTGTGTCACCCCGAGTTCAACATGTAATGTGGATGGCACGGGTACAAAAGTTGCAAAAATAAACTGCTTTTACACACTCCTCAGTCATAAATAAAGGACACACAGTACTGTACGATCTGTAATTGTGAAAATGCTTTTATTGTTTGAAAACGTAAAATAAGCACAATTCCACTCCTATTGGCTGCACAGCTGGAAGGATGTGGGGTCAGGATGGATAGATGGACGGACGCGCTGAGGTCAGCTTGGATTGCTCACAGTAGTTTTCCACGTCATTCCCAGATGCCAGCTTTGACATTCCAGACCAACTGAAACACAGCTCTACCTCACAATAACGGTGCGCTGTTACAGTTAACAGTTTCTGGAGCTGGAAATTGGATTTTAAAAAGTTTAGTTTTTTTTGTTGTTTTTTTTATACACAGTGCTCCATATTTTATGTAAAAAGTTTCTGCACTGGCACAAGTTTATTTACTACCAGGGAGAGAGACAAAACTCTAGGAATTAATTGGCGAAGCAAAATTTTAGTATTGAAAATTTCAGATTATATTATTGATTTATAAACTAAAATTATTTTCTCAATGTGGTAAGTGGTGCTGGCGTCCTAATCTGCTTTAGTTTTGAATGTGCTTGTGCAGGAGTATTCTAATGTCCAACGATGCGCACAAAATTTCAATCTTAAATTTGAAGTATTTAGTGACATTGTAAACCTTCATCTTCTAATGGTGTGTCTTGTAGCAAGTTGATTTTTTTTTCTTTTATCACATAAGCAAAACAGAAAACACACTCTGTAGGAGACAAATAATAATAATAATAGAAGTTAAAAAAAGACACTTGTAGTGTCCAAATTGGGTATATTTTCGCTCATGCTCCATTTTCCACAGTAAAAGCACGTCTTGTTGACATTCCTCTCCTGTAACCTGAAACTCTGTATCCTGTGTGCAACTACCAATCACTATTCACCATCTGTGATTCTATCAGGACAACACATGGGTCATAAAAGATGGAGCAAGGAATTTGATTACAAGTTTATTTTCAACAAGGGATTCAGTGTTCAGGAACAGAATGAGTCTATTTATGCTGACAAAAAAAAAAAAAGAAAGAAAAATATGAGGAATATACATCTCATTTTCTTTACATTTGAAGTTGTAAGGCAAATCCGATCGAATTGTTTCAAGGTTTCAGTCGATGCAGAACCAAATGTCATTTCTGAACACCTTGTGTAACTTCAAGATGCATTTGATGAATTTAAGGCTTGTAATAACAGTGAACAGCCATCGACTGAATATGAAAGCTTCCACATTCAACGGACACAGTCGGTACCTTCGATAAAATGCAAGTTTTCTCAGAAATATTCTCGTTGCGCTGATTATTTGGCAAACAGTTTTAAAAAATGTGAATACGTCAAACATAAATAAAAGAAAACCTAGGAGCCTGAGTCAAAAAATATAGACTTCATGTCATATTTATCAGCAAATCCACTCTTGTTCACAACCGTATTGTAGGCATTTCATGACTACTTCAGACAAACTGTGAATTATTAGTGAGTCCAGGAAAACCTGGCTATATATAGCACTGTTCCAAAACAGGGAGTCGTATTACACAACCAATCACAGCTGACGGATTCCTGGAGGAAATTTATGAAAAACGTTGCAGGTTTTTTGTTTCAGTGTGTGTGTGTGTGTCCACTGTTGTCACCAGATTTAAGAAAAACCTGAAGAATTTGGAAAACGGAGATGTCAAGAAGCAGTAGCAGGGGGAGATACAGTAAATGAGGATGTTGAGTGAAGGATCTGAAACATGCAAACCGCTCAAAAACAGGAAGAGAGCCCTTCCAGAAGTGCAGCGGTCAGCAGTACCACTCAGTCAATATGTGGGTCTAGGGGCATCCGTCATACAACCACTGGATGCAGTCAGGTGACGGAAGATGCTGAGACATTCCAGACATTTTTTAAAATTTTTTTTTAGCATTAGAAACCATTTCTTTTTGTGAAGTGAAAATGTGAAGAAAAGAAAAAAATAACAGATGGGATGTCTCTAATATCAGACATCAAACGCAAAAAAAGAGTCCTACCTTAAAACGCCGAGCCAAAAACTTGTTCTTCATTTCCAAGAAGTTTCCTTTGTTTGCCTGTGACTTGAACGGCTCATTGACGATTGCGAACTGTGGATCGTTCTGGATGTCCTGCCAACGAGCGTAGCCATGTCTGGTGAACAGGTCAAGGGTTATTAAACTGTCTGAGTCAGAGAAGGAGCTCCTGTTTTGGAAATTTCAACAAAAGCGAATATCCCAATTTCTGATTTTGCCTTAGTATTTATCGACGATAGCTTATTGTACCAACAAATCACAGCAGAAATGTGTATTATATATGTTATTAACTCATATTATTAGGTTACAGCTAGCAAATAGTGTTAAGACATATGAATAGAATTTAAGACGTGTATCTCCTCAGAAATGTACAAACTTAGTCCATCCAACTGTTGATAAATATGCACTTAATCATGATAAGTGCAAATTTATTATTGGCACATATGATAAATTTGTGCAAATGATAATATATATAAGCTAATATAAGCCTATAAAAGCTAAAGTTGGCTTATATTAGCTTATGCTTGCTAATTTAAGCTGGAATAAGCAATAGGCTTATATTAGCAGCTAGTTAAGGGTTGCCTCAACCACCTCGAGTCACAGAACACTATGAAGTGAAAAGATCTGTGAGCAACTCAAACTTTTGCCTCACAGAAAAGTTCTGCAAGAAAAAAAACTCCCCCCAGATAGAATTATAATATATAATATATTAAATAGCCCTGCCATGACAAAATTTAAGATCTGTGATTAATGTTTATCTCGTGAAACATACTTTTCTTAATTGAATTTAAGACATTTTTTAGACCTTAATTTTAGATACGCAACTTTAAGACTTTTTAGGGATGCGCAGACACTCTGGTACTAGCTTAATCCAAAAGGTTTAATCCAAAAACTGCCTGTACAGAACAACATCAACTTCTTGCAGACACATATTGCCGTTTACAAAGCTCTTTCTGGCTTGTTGACTTATTAAGCTGCCTTTCTGACTTGCACTAGAAAAAAAAACAACCCATAAACAAACACAGCGGGGTCATCACCCGGGCAACCGCTGTCAAGGATACACCACGATTCCCGCCAGCAGCCAGAAGTCGTGTCGACGGTGCCAGATCTCGTTCATCTTACCCGAGGAGATGGCAGCCCGCTCCTCGTTCTGCCAGAGAGTGTGCAGCTCTGCAGGAGGAAAACAACGAGGTCGCTTTCAGATCGCTTGCCTTCCCGAGCCCCGACTGCAGCAGGTGTGTTTTTCCGCCACACACCCGCAGCTTTTCTAGGTTCATGATCAGGCTCAGGGCAAATTTGGCTCCTTGGTCATATTTATTTGGAACCCTCTGAAAGCAGGACCTATGTTTCTTATGTTTATATAAGTGGCACTTTTTATGTTGTTTAGACAACTGCACACGTGTTTCAGTCAACCGGTTGAAAGTATTTCCTGAATTCCGCCTTTCTCTTCAAATGAGCTCATGTTTTTATATATATTTTTTTAAAGTAGAAGTTGAATGTGTTTTCTTGAAAAAACATGACTATTAAAAAGAGAACTACTAAGTATACTGTAAATAATATGCTGTTATTACAAATTTAGGAGTTTTTCTAAGTACGTAATCCCAATCAATGACATTTTAGGCATTAATAACTGGAAGTATGACACTGCATTTCCCATGAAATATCATCCCACATAACACAATCTACTTTTACAAAGATGTTGCTTCATTCTTACTTCTCTTTTTTCACCAAATGTCATGTGTAAATATATGAAATCACACATCCACACAGAAAAATGCTTCTACAATACAACAGCAGTGCAGCCCTTGTCTGTATCTCTAAGTCCTTATATTGTGAAGTTCAGGGATTTTTTTTATCAACGTCACTTGAATCATCAGATATTTTTTTAGTGACTGACAAAATATTCTTCTGTAAAAGCCAAAAAAACCAGAGCTGACCTGTGAAGCCGCCGTCTGCGATGTTGAACATGAAGCGCGGCCGCTCGGTCTGAGGCTTCCCGTTACCTTTTGGCGTCTCCTCCTTGGCTGCTTTGATTTCTTTCCCAGCATCCCTTTCACCTTTGACTTCTTCTATTACAAAAACAGACACCCATTTAGACAAAAATAATACACTTATTTTAGCATTTTTAAGCAGCGCACCGCACCTCTCTTTGGGTCAGACGTCTCGGTTTTTTCCCTGGCTTCTGTTGCCTCTGAAGATGTTCGCATTTCATCCATCTTTTCTTTCTCCTTGTTCTCCACAGGCTTCTCTCCCTCTGCAAGTACAAACTTTCTTAAGCCACACAGATCTTTATTTTTTTTATTATTTTTATCCACTGATGTGGAACAGCGTAAACGTTATTTACCTGACTTCTTTTCTGTCACGTCTGTGTTTTGTTTAGTCTCTTCTTTACTGTCCTCTTGTTGTTTATTCTCCTCTGATGTGGCGGCTAAAGCCTCGGTCGATTCCTTCCTGTCATCCTCTTTGGCGGTGCTCTCTTCTTTGCCGTCCATCTTTTCACCTGCCTTCTGCGACGATTCTTTTGTTGAGGATGAAAGCTGCCAAAAAGAGCGACACAATCATTTTTAGTATATTTTTAACATTTTACACAAAGACATGAGCAAATCTGATTGTAGAACTCAATGGTTTATTCACCAAATTTTCCTCAAATCTTTCCAGATTTCATTAGAATACAAGTACAAACTGAAGTCTGCGTTCATTAGGATTTTATGTTATAAACCGACACGACATCTTATGAATTTTATTTACAATTACAGCTGAAGTCTCTCGAGATCGCAGCATGTTTTGAGCTAAACCCTGTAACTGTGTTTATCTGCTGCAACCTCTAACACAGTTTCTTCTAATTTTCCTCTATTTACCTCATCCAGCCTCCCATCAACTCTGACATTTTTTCCTGTCACTCCTGAAGAAATGCATAATGCAGCCACCGCCGTGTTTCACCATAGGACTGATGATGTGTTCGTTTCTCGTCACATGCAAGCCAAATTGTCTCATTTTGATCTGATCTGGTCACCTATTTCCACATGTTTGCGGTGTTCCCTATCAGGGTTACGGTAAACTGTGAATAGGAACACTTCACTTCCTGTTACCAGCAAACTACTCCTTACAGCTCTTGCATAAACGTAATATTTTTGGAAAACATGCCTGGTCTAAGGATTGAGTTTTCACAAAATATTAGAGAAAGAAAATATTTCATGGCTTTACAGCTGTTATGGATGTGTTGTGGATTGTTTTTATTAATTCTGTTTCATTTGATGTGTAGGACAGGTATAAATATGAACCTTGTGCATTTGTCTACACGGTTTCAGTCAAGTTGTTTACATTGTTGCAGTGTTTTGAAGTATGGATTTTGAAAAAAATAGTTGACTGAATAAATAAAAAACAATAAATCAAGTTTTTGTTTGTAAAGAAGGAAAATGTTAAATGGTTTCAGGGGTGTGATTACTTTTGCGAGGTATTGTGTCATATATCATCTTATTTTACCTTTGACTTCTTCTATTACAAAAGAATAGAAGAAGCCTTGCATTCCATTATGAATGGAATGCAAGGCTTTTTGTTTAAAAAGCCTACTGTATATTTGAGGTTGAAATAGGCTAGCTTTACTTTCACCTTGTTTGACACTAGCCCATAAATTATATATATATATATATATATATATATATATATATATATATATAAAAAAAGTTTATGCTATAATTGTGAACATAATGTAGACTTTCTTCTTTCTCCAGCTATGTGTTTGGGTTTTTAGGGACATTGTCTCACCTCCTCAGGGTCGCCGGTCTTGTTGCTGTTCACCTCTTTCTGTTGCTCCTTCTCCTTCACTTTTTCCTTTTCCGCGGAGGCATCAGCCTCCCCCTTCTCCTCCTCCTTTCCGCCCTCCTTCCCGTTCTTCTCCAGCCTCTCCGACGGCGCTGGAGTCGCTGTGTGTGTTCAGAGAAACGAACGTGAACGTAAAGTACACTCTGGGTGCCGTTAGTTTAGAGCGCCACCTGCTGGGTCTACACCCCGGTCACGTAGGCTACCTGGCTTCGAGGTGCATGGAGTGTTGTTGAAGCTTGCATCAGGTGTGGGAGTCGCGGTCTTTGCAGCGGGAGAGGAGGCCCGAGAGGAGGATTTGTCAACGCTGACCTCGGGTTTGAGCTCCGGAAGGCTCCACCGTCCGTTGATGTGCTCAAACTCTTGGATCTGAACACGAGAAAGCCAAAACTGAGCAGAAAATAAATTGAATAAAAGCGTGCATAGTTCATCAATTACAATGGCTTTTTTTCCTAAATAAACCATAGGCATGCCATTTGGACTTGGCAGCTTATCGAACATGTCCCCTTGGTACAGACAGCAGATCGGGACAGCTGCAGGTCTATACAGGTTGGACCACAAACTGGGTGGAAGATGTTTAAATGAAGTAAAATAAACTGGCAAAGTGGACGTTGAAGAAATCAAAACAACTCGCTGGAGGTCTTTGCAAGAAAGAAGTTTGAAATTTGTGTGATTCTTTTATTATCCACCTGCAATAATTAATGTTTCTAACCAGTTAACATGTGTTTTATTAAAGTTGTTTTCTGACTGATTTGAATTTTAAATATCGGAATCCAACATCATTCTGTTTCGGGGAAAATGGCTGCACTAGTTGACATTTTTAGGAACCTCTAGAGCGCTTATTTACAGACATTTTAGTTTTGATCACAATTGTTTATTTTGTGCTTGCACTTGACACACTGCAGCCAACGCTGTCGCCCGAGCCGCAGTCGCCCTAGGTCTGAAACATTTGTTTAAAAACTCATTTCTAAAAGCTCAAGACTGCTGCTAGTGATCAGGAGAGTCTCATTCTTTGGGCAGAGTTAGACTAAACATCTGCCCAGGGTGTTACATGATGATTGGGAAACAGATTGGGCAAAAAAAAGAGAAAAGATCAAATGGGCTTTAAGTCTGGTCAGAATGTTTAGAACTGTGTGTTCTTTGAGGGAGATGTTGTCTCTTTGGGTTTTTTAGTTACAATAGAGTTTCTGCAGGCCTCACTAAATCAAATTTAAGACCTTTTTACGACCATTATGAATGGAATGCAAGACTTATGTCCTCAGAAATGTATGCATTCTGTCCAGCCAACTGGTAATAAATTTGCAATTAATTGTGATGGACAGAAAAATGCTACCTAGCTAACTGGCTGGCAAGGGGATGTTAGCAGTCAGATATCGGTAGACTCAGCAGCTTAGAGGAATCCAATGAAAATGTCTGAGAGCAACTCCCAAAAATACTGAATATACAAGATTTAATACTCCAGTCTAGACAAAATTTAAGATCTGTGATTAACATATCAAAGGCCGACTAATTTAAGAGATTTAATGCCTCACTTTTATACACATGAAGTTGAGACTTTTTAAGACTTAAAGGATACGTGGACAATCTGTGTGCTAACAAAACTAGCCAAAGGAAATCTTCATTTGATATATATAAACCTGACATGTTCTCCTTTTGTCTTTTTGACAAACTGCCCGTTTCAGATCAACAGAATTAAATGTGGTCACAACTGTCTCTTTTCTCCCCGCCTTTCATTTTCTGACCTTCTTCTTGACCAGAGACATGACGCCAATACGCGTCAGGACGAGCTGCCGACACAAGCCCTCCCTCGGGACGCCGTCGGCGAACGTCTCGGCCCCGTCAGCGACCGGCTCGCACAGGTGACGCATGAAGAGAGACACGTAAGCTCTGCGTGACAAAGAAAAGGCAATACGTTGATAAAAATAAAATAAAAAAAAATTCAGTCAGACGAGGATAAACAGACTTGATGCCAGCTGCTTTGTTGTTTTCACTTACTTGAATTCCTTCTCAGTTTTTCCCCTGAGGTCCCTAACGAGCCACTGAGACGAGAACGCGTCCTGAGACGGCATACCCCAACGCATCACCGCATTCAGGAAGGCTTTGCGCTGCCGTGTGTTGAAACCAAGAACCTATCGAGGGAATAAGAAGCATTTCATTTTTCTACAAGTAAAAGTGGCACTGAGCACAGCTGAAAAGCTGAAAAAAACACCTGTAGTTTGTAAAAGCATCTAAATCTCTTGAACTTATTTCTGTTTTTTCACACAACGGCAAACTTCACTATAGTTTACTAAGGCTTTATGGCATATAGCAGATGTCCACAGCTCGGGTGAATTTCTTTCTTAGACAGGAACCCAGTTTCTCCATTATAATTATTATTATTATTATTATTATTATTATTATTATTATTATTATTATTATTATTATTATTATTATCATCGTCACAGTTCTGATTACAGACACTCTCAGTGAGTGCCGGTTGGAGACATCCTCAAAGGAAGCGGATCCAAGTGGAAAACCAGCTGAGACCAAATCTGGTCTCAGCTGTTTAACCATAAACACTGTAAATCTATGGAGGACACATGTTCCACTTAGATGAGATCAAAATCAAACTTTTTAGTTGATAAAAACTTCAGCCCATCAAAGTGCAATGTTATTACAGGCAGAACCCAAAAGATGTGAGCGATGGACACCAATATAATTACACTACTATCAGGATAAACAAGAAAATTCACTTTTTTTTGGAGATGGATTAGCTTTACAGTGAACTCTAGTTTAAGACAAGATTTATTACGTTAATTATGAAATAAACAGAGAGCCGGTTTAGACCCATTTCCAAAATAATCACGATCAAACAGCCCAGAAGTTGAAGAAGAACTTGTTGGTTTGGTGGACAGACCTCTAGGTTGCCTCCCACTCTGGCCAGAAGAGGAGGCAGAGGTTTATCTTTCTCATTCCTCAGCTGACGACGTGACTGCCTCCGACCTGCGAACGAGAACAGCCAACAGAAACCGTGTGACAAGCCACTGAGGAATATTAGCTGAAAGGGAGGAGAGACCATTAACATTATGTTACAGAAAGTCAAGGAATAAAAGAAACACACTCCTCATATGACTAAAGTTTTTTTCTTCCATCTCTCTCCTGAAGGAGATGGTTAGAATTCTTGGCAGTCTACCTCATGCAGTTCTGCCAGAAAAAACTGCAATGACTAAATCAAAGTCAGACTGTGATTCAACGCAGACCTGTGAGTGTGTCGGACAATCTTTCATGAGCAGTTTCCTATCGATTTCACGTGTCTTCTCCTGTATTTCGTTCTGTGTTTTATCGCTCCTTACCTTCTGGCCGATCGTCGAAGTCCTCATCCTCCTCCTCGGAGCCCACGGAGTATTCGGACTGGTTATCTGAAATGTCAGCATGCCACTCTGAAACAGCACATGGTGCTTTGTCAATAGGCCAGGCTCATTCCCTTCCACTCTGCAAATAATGCCTTAAACCCCCAAACTTCTCAAGTAAAACACTAATCCAGTAAATTGCCGTTATTCTTGGTGTTGTCCTAAACAATATTTCTTTCTTAACCAGAAGCTTGATCCTGTTCCTACAGCATCTGTAGCATGAAACAGCTGGTAGAACTTTGCCAAACTTATGTGAGCCTCCCCAGATCCAAAGCCGGTCGTTACCTTGGTCTTCCTGCGCAGCGTCGTTGTAGTTCACAGGTTTGCGGTTCCTCTTCCCTTTACCTAGCTTGCTGGCCAGGTCCTCCTGCTGCTGCTCATAGTGATGCCGTAGCAGCTTCTCCCAGTAATCCGGGTCCACGTTCTCCTCCTGCTTGATGATCTCCCGCTCGATCTCCTCAATCTACAAGCACACAAATCGAAAGAGGCTGATTATGTAAACTCACTGAGGCATCGTACTATAATGTGCAGTAGCGGGGACGGTTTGACAGAAGTCACGTCAGCGAGGAAGCAAGTCAGGTAAGAGCACAGCTGAATTTGTGGCAGAGGACTAAAACAAACTGGGGTGAGAGGTCACCTTCCAACACAACGACCCTCAATATCAGTTGTGGGCGATATGGACTTGACGTTTTATCATGATGTTTTGTGGTACTATTGTGACAGCAATAACAAATTGCTAACATAAACATGGTCTTAAGAACTATTTATTACATCTTTTTCAGGTAACCGTATGGGCGTGACTATAGTCATGGAAATACAAATAACGCTTTTGAAAAATATTCCCAGGGTAATTTGTATCATTAAACTGCACACAGTAACAGTCTTTCCATATTTGTTGGTATTTCTTGATTCGTTCACTGAACAAACAGAGGAAAAAAAATAGTAAAACTATAAATTCTGACAATAAAGACAATGCTGGGGGGTGGGAGGTTTTAAAGATCATTAATTAGAATTTATTATAATAATGATCAATCAGAATTCTTGTCATAATAAGAAATTTGGCAAACAAAATGATAAACCTTATACATAGCTATAATATCTATATCCAGAATCTACCATATATCTACCATTGTAGATATATCTATTGTAGATATGCAACACCGTATCTAGAATGTGTTCCAATGACTCAAGTGAACTGCAAATCAAACTGAGATTCTGCTACACGACTCGGCTAATGTTCTGGAGTCGGTTAGACAACCTGAAAACAATTAAGCATTGGATACAATAGGAACGAAAAGCCAACATGCTTAACAGTGAATCTGAAGGTTTAATCTGGTCAAAGATGGTGTCAAGGTTCCTGACATCATTGGTGGAGGTCAATTTAATCCCATCCAAAGTCAGTAAGTACAGCTGTTTTCAGATGTTCTGGTCCAAAGACACCGACCTTAAAAACATTATTTAAAAGCTATAAAACGTTTGGATGTGTCGAGGCCTGCCTGCAGTCTAATTAACTCGTTGGATTCATCATCTCCCGGCATCGCTCTATAATTATTCTGCCGTGAGGAAGATTTATCATTTAGATTGTCACATAATCTAACTGAACTCTGTCAGACAAAAGTGACGTAAACAAGCCTCGTGCTGTTCTCTTGATCCCTGCAGCATGTCGGAGCCCCGGTATCCCTGCCAGCAGATGCACTGATATCACCGCCTTAGTTTATTAATGCTGTTACAAACAACAAGCGAAGCGGTGCTGCACCGGCAGCTGGAAAACAAAAACATTCATGAAATCAGGGAAAAGCTTTAGGCACGGCTATAAGTAGCATATTGACCTATTTAAAGTCTCTGACAGGTGAAGATAAGAGACCAGCCTGAGTTATAATGAACTTTATCTTTTTTGCTTAAGTACGGTGATTTCACTCGGTTGTGTTATTAATTTTTTTTAAGCAACCCTGACCTCTGGACTTTTAATGGCGTACCACATGTTTTGATTGGCTGCTGTTACCAATGAGCTCGCCTCCTCCTCCTGTTGAAAGAGGCTTTCCTCCTGTTTCAGCAGCAAAATTGGTGCTGGGTTAGAAACTGGGCAAAAACGCTCCTCATCGACAGGGTACCAATTTATTCTGACACAGTCATTTTCTTTTACAAGCTACTTGTCAGATTTATTTATTTTTTTATTGTCATTGCCTTTTAATAAGAAGAAGAGCTCTCTTTTTTTCTCATTGTAGTTTCCAAGAAGTTTGCAATACGACTCCTGATATAGAGATAGTGTCAAATGATACAAAGGATAAACTTGGCAACGTTTAATTTCTAGGTTAACTAATATTCTCTGGAAAGGAAACGACTGCGTGGCCATTAATCTACAGCAGAGCAGCCTCCCTGGAGCGCATACAGTTTCTGGGCCGAAGACCAAATAAATTAAAATGTTTATTTTGGATGATTCTGCTCTGCATCCTCGATTCTGGAGAGCTCTTGGTCTCTCCATCTTTCTGAGTGTGTGTAAGAAATGCAAATTGTATAAGAAACTCTAAACCAGAACTTTCGCTGTTTGTGACAAGTGTGTGCATACGGAAAGAATTTGTTTTAACTCTAACATCCGAGATACAAACAGTACAGCATTGCATGCCCCAAAATTCTCTTTAGTCCTGCCAGGAAGCAATCCATTCAGTACATGTCAGATTCACAAAGTGGCACTTTGTGAATCTGTGTCGCTCCTGCTTCCATCTCACCTTGTCCTCCTCTCGGACCATGTACTGGGCAACCTTAAAGGAGCTCAGGTACTCGTTCATGTTCTGGACGTCCGAGTCGTCTGTGGCGTCTTGGCTGCGATCCAGCAGCCTCTCGATGGCGGTGCTGTCATAGTGAATGACGCTGCCCTCATCCTCAACTTTGTCCCCAGAGTTGTTCTTCATACCTGGCAGAGACAAAGACATAAACGCTCGGGATCTGCTGACATTAGGGCTGCAGCTAATTATTATTTTAGTAATCGGTTATTCTATCGATCTTTATGGTGGTTAACCAGAAAACAAAAATTGTCACGTTCTGCATATTTTAACTGTTTAAACTTATTCTGCATACTAGAAATACATTAAAACATACAATTGTTAATTATATACTTTAGTTAGCGATTAATCGAAGTATTAGTTGACAGCTATTTCAATTGATTAATCACGATTAATCGGTTCAGTTTATATAGTTTTGATCAGCTTCACTATAATTCCATCTCAACACGTGTCACTTCCTCACCTTCTCCTTCATCCTTGAACAGCTCCTCCGTCCCAAACTTGAGGATGTCATCCAGCTCCTGTTTCGTCATGGAGCCAGCCTTGGATCCCAGACCTGGCCGCACCACCAGGTGGGTGAGCATCATCTTCCTTTTGGCTACCTGGGTGATGCGCTCCTCCACGCTGGCTCGCGTCACAAAGCGGTAGATCATCACCTTGTTGGCTTGCCCGATGCGATGAGCTCTGCTGAACGCCTGCATGGGAAAACAGCGCCGTATCTGTTAAGGCGTGAATAAAGGCGATACCAAAAACCAGTATTATGGAGGAGCTGAACTGCACCTGGATGTCATTGTGAGGGTTCCAGTCAGAGTCAAAGATGATGACCGTGTCAGCCGTAGCCAGGTTTATGCCCAGACCTCCGGCTCTGGTGGAGAGCAAGAAGCAAAACTGACACGCTCCGGGAGCTGCAAGTGTGAGAGGCAGAAAAAAAAAAAACCTCAAATAAATGTGGAGTCAACGCACTTTAAATACCAGCATAACTGGGATTATATCAACAGAAATAAAATGTGGCGTGGAATGTAGAAAGACAGTATGAAGTTAAAATCTAAACACTAATAAACACAAGACTGTACAACTGACTGTCTGGATGTTTATTAAAACACCAAGGTGTAAAATCTTTTAATTTCAATGTTTTTTCAACATGCTTGAAAAATGCAGGAAGCTGAAGCAAAACGTGGACAGAATTAAGAAACTTACTGGACACCTTTAATAAGCACAAATTGTGACTTTATTTAAGCGCAAAAAGGGGATCTCTTTGTTATTTTTCAAAACATCTGAACCTAATAACGTGTCTTTTGACGCATCACTACAGCCCTAAAAATGATAATAATGACTGTCCTGTGTTACCGTTGAATCTGTCGATGGCCTCTTGTCTCAGTGCACCTGTGATGCCTCCATCAATCCTCTCGTACTTATAACCCTCATAGTCCAGAAAATCTTCTAATAAATCCAGCATTTTAGTCATCTACAAAAAAAAAAGATAGAGGAAATCTTTGATCAACCATCCCTCCACACAGCTGAAATTTCAATCTGCTGTTGAAACTTCAGTTTGTTCATGAAGCGCTCAGAAAACGTGCACGTGGATGTGTTTCTCCGTGTTTAAGCAGGGTATGTGTGTGTTTTCTACCTGTGAGAAGACCAGCACTCGATGCCCCTGATCTTTCAGCTTCCTCAGCATCTTCTGCAGCAGCGTCAGCTTCCCAGAGGCCTTGGTGAGGGCCGAGCCTTCGTACGCCCCGCTGGGTGTTTTCTGGGCTTCCTGCAAGAACATGTATAAAACAAAAGAGTTAACACTGGGGGGCTCATTTGAGTTTGCCAGCTGAATTTAGGGCAGGGACGTTCAAACAGCAACAGGATACCAAGATGTGTCTTTACAGTGATCTTTTTGTGTGAGTGAGTCAGCCACAAGGGAAACAAGACACCATGAATAAAAATTTCACAGCCTCATACAGAAAGAAATGACTATGAAATCACTGCGAATATCAAATAAAAGAATGACATCAAGATTTGTCATTGGTTATAAATGTGTTTTCGAAAATGTCAACATTCTATCTTGTTGTATTGTGACTTGCACTACCACATCTTACCACAAGATGTCCCCATACAGCAAGTTCAGGTACATCAAGTTATTTGCTCAACAACGTTGGTTATTTGAAGAACAAAATTCAAATAGTTTTTAGGTTTTTAGAAAGAGTTTCAATTTTGTATTAATGTTTTTCTTATGTTCATGTAAATATGTTTTTGCTCTCACCATGGAGGCGACAGGGAAGAGGTACGGGTGGTTGCAGCACTTCTTCAGGTCCATCATGATGTTGAGCAGAGACACCTGGTTTCCTCCGCCTTTCGAGTTCAGAGCCTCGAAGTTCTTGGTCAAAATCAACTTGTAGTACTTCCTGTTTTTCAAAGCAAAACAACAAAGCCATGAAATTAGGAAGAAATAATCATGCAAAGCAAAACAAACTTTGTTCAACGCGAAAAAAAAAAAAAGCAAAGCACGTACAGGCAAGTCAGTAACTAGAAGGCAAAAATTACACTTTGTAGTAAGGACACAGAATAAAAAATACAAATGTCTTGCCGTAAGAGCACAGCTACAAGATCATTTGTATGCCACAGCAAATAAAAACCAAACATGTGGCTCTCCAACCAACTGCGCTTCATCATTTCTAGCTGTTTGTTCATTAGTTTGGTGTGTCTTACACAGTAACTCAATAAAAACACGTGTGCGCCTTCTTAATAATTCATGGTCACCTGTAACTGATGGTACACACACGTACTGCTACACCCGTTGCATTTAATTGTTAAGCTGCTTATTTGTGTGATGCTTACTTCTGCATGGGGCTCAGCTCCACTCTGACAATCAGCTCGGTCTTAGCCGGCATGTTCTTAAACACGTCGGCCTTGAGCCTCCGCAGCATGTGAGGCCCCAGCAGGTCGTGGAGCTTCTTGATCTGGTCCTCTTTGGAGATGTCGGCAAACTCCTCCAGGAAGCCCTCCAGGTTGCTGCGCAGAAGAGGAGACTCAAAATGAAATTCTCGATGTGAATGCTTATCCAGCTTTAACGACGGTCATTAAGGGAAAACATTTGCTGAACAAAAAGAGTCATACTTGAAGCGATTCGGGGTGAGGAAGTTGAGCAGGTGAAATAACTCTTCAAGGTTGTTCTGCAGAGGAGTTCCAGTCAGCAGCAGCTTGTAGTCAATTTTGTAGTCATTTAAACGCCTGAAGAACTACAAATACACAAAGAAAGAACTGAGCTCTACCGATCATGTTACTGCAGAAAAAGACAAATCCGACTCTTATTGTCATCAACAAAAGAAGTCTTTCAGCAGGTTTCTTTAGGAAAGATCATTTCTATCACACGTTCTGGTTGTAACAGACATCCAACAATTACTTTAGGAATTGATTGTTCAGATAAATCAGATAAAACAGTGGGCACATTCAGCAGATTTTTCATTTAACCACTTAAGCCTTCTCTAGGCAAGATTAGAAATACATTAAAAATGCAAATGAACAAAGAATTCAGTTTCTTTTTTAAATACAAAAATATATATTTTGTCCAAAATGCAATAGCACAGCATTCGTTTAGTTCACGCTTGATCATTTGTAGATTGTTTGATTAACTTCGCATCAACCAATTTAATAATTGGACAGCAAAAGGCACTTAATAGGAGATTTAGTTTTTTACAGAATTTGAGCCAGGTGCAGCTAACAGCATACCAAATGAGGAGTTCCAGGTGGAACACATTTACAGCCAAATTTATCTAATTTTTGTACAGTTTTGAAATAATGACTGCTATGACTATGCTGCCGTTTAGCAACTGGCTTTCGTTTGAGTCTAGTTAATGATTAATCTATTACTAAATTGGTTGACCATTATTTCAATAATCGATTAATCACTGTTAATTCGATTAATCCTTTCAGCCCGAGCATTAACAGTGACAGACGAAGCAGTGGCACCTTGGACTGGTTGTTTTTGAGGCGGTGAGCCTCGTCCACCACCAGACACGCCCAGTCGATGGACTTGAGCGCCGTCTGATCGATGGTCACCAACTCATAGGAGGTCAGAAGGACGTGAAATTTAATGGGAGCCTCGCGCTGCGGCAAGGGAAACAAGAGATAAAAGAATAAACGGATGCTTTTCTAGACAAAAAAAAAAAGTTGTTAGCAATCATTAGCACCGTCTCACCCTGAGTTTGAAGGCCTTCTTTCCGGCTTTGATGGAGTCGTCGAACGTGAACTCGTTCTCTCTGATGATGGCTCGGCTGTCTTTGTCTCCCGTGTACGTCACCACGTAAAAATCGGGCGCCCACATCTCGAACTCCCTCTCCCAGTTTATGATAGTGGAGAGGGGCGCGCTGACCAGGAAAGGACCCTTAGTGTGGCCCTGAAAGAAAAGCAGGATGGTGTTGGTGCCCCTTACAGAATCCGTAATGTGACCAAGCAGAAACGATCCCAGCAGTACCTCCTTGAACAGTGAATAGAGAAAGACGATTGTCTGGATGGTTTTGCCCAGACCCATTTCATCTGCCAGGATGGTGTCGGTGCCCTGAGCCCAGGAGAAGCGCAGCCAGTTGAGGCCCTCCAGCTGGTAGAGGTGCAGGTTGCCGCCTGTCGCCGTGACGAAGTCGGGCTGTTCCTCGTATTTGATGGTCGGCTGGAGCAACGACAGCCCAGAAAACAGTGAGGCCATGTAACTCCATTCTACTACGCTACGCTATTACGACGGTCAAAAATCATAAAGCTTCAATTAGTCATGAAAACAAAAAAAAATCAGTTTGCAACAAGCTTGGTTTCATACAGTTAAGTTATAACAGCTGTGTTCAGTGATGTGGAAAAAAATTCAGGTTCTCTCCAAAATTCTTTTCACATTTTCCAACAAGCAAGAACGCAAAGGTTCACTATGACAGATGGTTCAGTAGAGTTTAGGTTTAAACGTGGAACGAAGGAATATAAGTATTTTCCGTCCTTTCCTCAGACTTAGCTTTCCAGAGTTCTCAGTGATTTATCTTCATTTTAATTACTACAATAAATTTATGAAGAATATTTCTATAGCAAACAGGCTTTAAATATGAAATATGCAAAGGGAAAAAAGAGAGAAAGGCAGACAAGTAAGAAAGATTGAAGAAACTAAATTAGAAATTGTGATTAAAAAATATAGTCTGAAACACTATATTTTGATAACATAGTACTCCACATCTGGAGGATTCCCATTTCCATATGTTTCTATACGCTTGTAGACTATGACAAAATTCTGTGAACTGAATCTTGTCAGAATAGTCGGTCCACATAAAGTGGGACAGAAATTATAACAAAATACAGTTCTGAAAATGTTTTCTTCTATAAATTTGGCAGAAAAAATGTAAAGAGTTCAGGAAACAGACACATTTTTTTTAAAGGGAACCGCAGCCGTTGTTAACCTACATCTGTGAGTGGGGAGGGAAAAGACTCCTCCTCTTCATCGTCTCCCTCCTTGCTCGTCATTTTCCTGGGTTTATCGGGGTCTTCCTTCAAGATGTTGTCCCTGTTGAATGACAACAAAGACATCATTGAGACTCTGTTAATGCTGTCTTAATTCTATCAAGAACAGTTTGTGACATAGGGCAAAGTTAACAATGACTATTAATCCCTTAATATAAGAAGCCTTTATCTTTTCAAATCAACTTTGGTGCATATTCTTGCTTCTAAACCAGTGTGTGTTCAGCATGACTGTGCAGACCAACCTGTGTCTCCAGTAGTTGGCCTTGTGGAGTTCAAAGTCGGGTATATCCATGTCATCTCTCTCCCAGGTGCACTGGTCATAGGTCAGATCTTTCCACTTCACCAGGTAGTGGTACATCCCCTTTTTATCCATGCTGGCAGAGGGACATGTGGAGGACAGTGAGCAGTGTCTCACACACCCGTCTCACACCCTCTCAGAGGTGCAATCAACCCTACCTGTGGTTTATGATGCGGTGAATCATCATCCACTCGGGCTTGATGCCGTATTTGTAGTATTTGTCTTCCAGTAGGGCGTAGTGGGGATCTTTGGCCCGCCTCTTCTCGCTCTTGCCCACTCCGTTCTCGTCCTCTGCGCCCGATCCGTAGTCCAGGCTGGGGGGCTCGTCCATGTCGGTCTTCCTCTGGTAGTTTCTGTACATCACCGAGTGGAAGATCTCCAGCTGAAAGATGAACGTGAGTAATAAAAAGACGCCAGATTTAATCGCCGCTCAGAGTTTGTTGTTCTTTCTGTAACAAGCATGCTTTAGAGATGATATATTCCAGTAAATAATTAATTGATTAGTACATTATGCAGCGATTATTTAAATCATGATTAATTAATTAATGGGCTGCACAGTGGCGCAGTTGGTAGCACTGTTGCCTTGCAGCAAGAAGGTCCTGGGTTCGTTTCCCGGCCGGGGTCTTTCTGCACGGAGTTAGCATGTTCTCCCTGTGCATGCGTGGATTCTCTCCGGCTTCCTCCCTGACCAGTCAGGTTAATTGGTCTTTCCAAATTCTCCCTAGGTGTGAGTGTGTGTGTGCATGGTTGTTTGTCTTGTTTGTTTCTGTGTTGCCCTGCGACAGACTGGCGACCTGTCCAGGGTGGACCCCGCCTCTCGACCGGAACGCAGCTGGAGATAGGCACCAGCAACCCCCAACCCCACAAGGGATGAGGATGAACAGATAATGGATGGATGGATAATTAATTAACTGTTTCAATCGTACTCTTCTGCAATTTAAACCAGAAGAGTTGTTTAAAGCATATGCAGATGTTAAAATGTCCCAGTCAAAGTTCAAATCTACATCGAATTGAAATGATGTGGCAAATTGTGAAACTTGCTGGCACTCCTCATACAGAGTCGAGGAGTATTAACCTCGAATGTATGTTTACTATGATCACCAGAGATCAGCCTTTTCATCTTTGGGTTTGGGTATTATTTTGTGCCTTATTGTGTATTTTGTAGACTTAAAAGCTGTTTTAGGCTACACCACCAGGAGGCACTAAGGAGTCTCCAAAAGCTGGAGGGAAAATGAGAATTTTTTTTAAAAATCTATATCAATTAAAAAAATTTTTAAAAAACATACATTTTTAATCTGAATTTTTGTATCAGAAAATGGTAACTGTTTTTTGATCATTATTATATAACATAAGTAAAAAATAATTTATTGAATTTATCAATTCGCATGGCAAAGAATGCTGAAAATTCACGGCCAGATAAAATCAGAAAGTATGAGGCAATTTTTATGTTAATCGAATGTAATTATTCAACAGACAATGAAAGCCTGATTTTGACATGATTTTGAAGCTGATGTTTCTTTACATATTTTGTAGTGTTGTCTGTAGGTATGCAAAGGGGTTCCCCTAAAAGCTAGTGGTGTTTGGGGGGGGGCATGGGATGGAAATGTCTGGGAATCCCTGTACTAAAAACACAAAATGTTATGACTGTTCCCACCTGCAGCTCGGTGATCCAGGTGCAGTGCCAGTACGACTGGCTGGTTAGCTTGACAAAAAACTCCCTCTCGGCTCTGCCCTTCATGGGCGGCGGTGGAGGGGCGTCGGGAGGAGCGTCGGGGGGCAGCGGGACAGGAATGGGAGGAGGAGGCTCGCCCCACCTCCAGTGGAGGATCTTCTGGACCCTTCCTTTGATTGGCGGGCACTGCAGCAAGGACACATGTCCAAATCGAATCTCAAACATTCTTCCTCGAGATAAAAGCCATTCGTGCAATGTGAACTGACCGTGCATCGCGGACAGAGCCACTCTCCGTTGGGGATCTCGGGCAGCGGAGGGTTCAGACAGTGAATGTGGTAGGAGGACGTGCACGTGTCGCAGCACAACAGTTCGCCGCCGTCCTTGCACACCCGACAGAATTCCATGTGGTCGTCCTCCTCCTCCTCTGCGCCGGTGGGAACCCCGATGCTGACCTCGGATATCACTCTGTCCTCGCTGTCCTCCTCGAAGTCCTCAAAGTCTTCGTCTTTCGCCTCCCATTGGATTCCCTCTTTTTCCTGCAGGAAGAACAAAAAAAAAAAAAAACTAACGACAGAAAGGGTAGTTGGGGTCATTTATATCTCGCTACTTGAACCTGCCAGTAGAGATAGTAGGAAAGTGAAAGCAATAGGCTCAAAGGGTTCAGCCTCTAGGGCAAAAGGAACCTGGGCTGCAGCTGAGATGCATTGTTCTCTTTAGTCTGAATGTGAGTGGGACATGAGGTGTCAGAGAGTTGGACTCAGGAGAATCTGTGAGGAGTTCATGAAAAATAGATCAACGCTTCATGTCAAACCATCAGGAGGCTAAGCGTATGAAAAAAAGGTCTGACACAGTCATGTAGCGCCTGCTTCCTGCGACCCACTTCCCTGTTCATGTCTCAGAGTACAACCAAACGATGCAGCAAGTGCACATGTTAGTTTAGTCTAACCACACTGTACAGTTTACTTTTGCTTGAGTAATGACATTATGAAATATGGCTACTCTTCTACTCTATAACAGTAGAGGTTATTACTCTATAACATCATGAGTTGTTACAAAATATTACTTTTTAAAATCTTTTTGTACATCTTCACCAAAGATCTGAGCGTAACTTCATTTAAGATGCGCAGCTCTTTAGTTTAAGCAACAATAACAGAGTCTCTGAATCGTCTGAAAAATATTTTCTTACTTTTTTTTAAGCGGCAGTTTATTGCTGCTTTCCTAGGTAGTGTTATTTAAATGAACTGGCTTTGTCGTGGCTATTTAAGTTGATCTTTTTGGCAATTGTAATTTCTTTCAATTGAGTCAGAATTTCCACAAGTTAGTTTAGAACCAAAATGGGAGGATGTCTTTTGTTTGTCAAATGTCCCGAGTGAAGACAGGAGCTTTTGGCAAAATGATTTTATTTCAACCACTTTGTGAACTTGTAACATGAGATTAAGTTAACTTTTGCCTTCATCTAAGTTGTAAGAGATATTTAGTCATTGTTTTGTCCATATTTCCGCAAAAAATAAAGTACATATATTTTTTCAAACAGTCAGAAGTGCGTCCAAGAGAAAACTACCTGTTGCCGTTCACAGCCCTTTGCGGAAAATTTTGATTTGGCATCTAGTAGAAACTGAGCACTAGAAACAAGGATTCATTAAGAAGTGATGTTGCTTAGCAGCGGATAAAGATTAAGAGAATAAGAGCGGACGATCCTCTCTGCAATCTGCACTCACACAATGCGGGCAGCTCCACTTGCCCTCGGGGGCCTTGTCCAGCTCAGGCTCGAGGCACACGAGGTGGTACGCTCGAGGACAGGTGTCGCACAGGATGATCTCTCCGCCCTGCTGACACACCTCACAGTAGTCCTGGTGATCCGTCTCATAGCCGTCGCCTTCTTCCTCACCTGGAACTGGAAACAGAACCACAAACCATATCAAAATGAACAAATATACACATTGATAACAAAAGAAATGTTACGAAAGACGTGAGGTATCTTTAAAACAAAAGCAGTAATATTATCATCTAAAAAAATCCACATAGTAATTGTGTCTTTAGTTATACATGTATAACTAAAGATGGACCTTATTTGTAAAATGTGCCAAAAACTAATTCTTTCCCAGTGGTCTTTTTAAGATAAATGTACAAAAGAAACAGGAGGCATAATAAAGCACTTCCTGAGAATTGACTTTAAATCTCAAGGTCATAAGTGTGACATCTTCTCAATCAGTGCTAACATAAACAAGGGTTTGATAAAGATTAGATGTGAACCAAAAGACAGAAAAAAGAACTTCATTTAATGGAAACATTTAGAAAAAAATACGCCACTGAGGGCACAGTTCACAAATCGCCAGGAAAACAGAAAAAAAGAGCGTAGAAAAATGTTAGCAGATGACAGAATAAAGTACCCATTGAAGGTCTAACCAGGTCAGTGAATATGAGCCTGTATTTTCAGCTAGAACTAATTTAGAACTTGGGCAAATGGCTAAGATAAAATGGAAAGACGAATAAAGCTGAGGATGCATGACCACAGTTACTACTACCTTCAACAAGCACCCAAATGGCTACATTATTTAAAAAACAAGAAAGTATTGTGATTTGTATAGAGTAACAGGAGTTTGGGCAGTCAGTCTGGCTTCTCATGTAGCCAGCCTGCAGTCTGCTGCTTAACAGAAATGCTGCTTTTATCTTCCTCATTGCAGTTTTAAACCAACATCGCCTCAAAAAGACAGTTGGGCTGCCGCTTTTTTAGTTTCCGAAACAGAAAATTTAATTTCCAAAGACTTGAATTTCTCTTTCTTGTTGGCAAAGTGCAGAAGCTTTCCACTGCCACCTGTTTACCAAGCTTCTTTGCATAGAATGAATGGAACATCGTACAGGTTGGCAAAAAACAATTGTCATCCAGGCAACTGATGATAAATTTGCATTTAACCAGAACAGACGCAAAAAAGACAGTTTCGTAACATTTTTTAGCTAGTTTTTTTTTCCCTCTCTATTTCCAATACAGGAATCAGAGCCAATAGTTCTTGCTGATATAGCTGCTAATATATCAGCAATATGCCCTTGCTTCCCTAGCAAGGGCATATTAGCAGCTAGTTACCAGTAACTTCAACCAACGTAATGAAGAAACGAGTCAACATGACAGAAAAGTCTCAGAAGAATAAAAAAGCTACATAGAATATGAGATTAAATAGTCCTGCCACGATAAAATTTAAGACTTGTGATTAACGTATTTAAGGCCAACTTACCTTTTATCAATAAATTGAAGACATTTGAAGGCCTTAATTTTAGATGCTCGCATTTAATACTCTACACTCTGGAATAAGAATTACAATGGCAAATATTTTGGATGCAGAAACTCCAAACTCTAAATTCGGTATAAACTGTAAAAGTGATAAATTGTTATTAGAAAAAAAAATGTATGTGGGATTCATTTAACGAGTAGGCTCACTCTTACCTTTCTTCTTCTTCTTGGCAGGCCGTCCCCGCTTGTTCTTTTTCACTCGGCCAGAGCTGTCGGAGCGAACGGAGGAGCTGTGAACGCTGGAGTCCTCCTGCTCAGATTCTTCCTCATCCATGTCGTCGCTCTGTCAGAGGAAAAAAAATGATCAGGCAACAGGGGTGAAGGGAGGTCGAGAGGGTGCGAGCGCTCCAGAAATACAAAAGGAAGGCAAATTATCTCCATCGGTTAAGCAGAATGTAAACATCGGACTCACAGAGCAGCTCTTCTTCCTCTTCCCAGCTATTGGTAATAGTTTAATACGGATAGGAGCCATCTTTTTAGCTTTAGATAGGGCTTTCTTCTTGTCAGGCACTCTAGGACTTTTACTGCGCTTTTTATATCCTGGACCTGCGCAGATAATTAGATCAAATCCAAAGTGAACTGGAAATGTATTGATCAACCACTATGCGGACAGTGTCAACAACAAAGTGGTAACAGAAATTGGATGAATCCTTTATATTTATGCAACAAAAAAAAAAAAACACTACACAGACACTACAGAAGATCTAAAGCTGCCACTGACCTTTGCCCTCTTTCGTCTTGGCCTTTCTGATGGGCGGCGGCTGAGGCGGCGGCTCGGGCGAGGCGGTCGCTGCAGAGACCTGCTCGGCGACAGCGATGGCGGCGGCAGCGGCGGCGGCTGCGACAGCAGCGGCGTTGCCTTTGAAGGGGTTGTTGGAGCTGAACTCCCTCCACTTGGCCCCCAGGATGGTCATCATCTTCGACATGGGGATCTTCGGGTTCTTCTTGGCTATCATCGGCCTGGGAGGAGTCGAGAGACACACGGTCATCAGGAACTCAAACCATATCCGCAGACTCTGCGGTTTTACGCTGTGATGGCAAACTCGGCTTTGGCTCAGTCAAATCAAGACTACCAAATCTCAAAGACTACAAGAGTCCCCAACGTAAACATGGTGCTGCAGCTTATTTACGTTGTCAGAGTCAACACAAGTATGAGCGACACTCACACCCTGAGGTTCAGGGTGTTTTTCACACAGTGTTGTTAATGCTGCCCCACAAACTCAACAAGCTGGCCTGATACAGTTTAACAGGAAGACAGGAGCAAATACCAGAAATTCACCATATGAGCAGTAAAGCTTTGTAATAAGATTAAACACTTTTTTGTCACTGCTTGTTGAGGCAAAGCTGTAATTTTTTATAATTTCATTCCAAACTGGTTAAACAGAGAGCAAGTTATCAGGTCGAGGGACACAGAGTCACTAGTTGATGTAGTTAAACAAGACGCAGTGAGTAAACAGCATGTTTTTGGTTTGGTTTTTCGATGTCTTTACATAATTTGGAGTGTTTAAAGCCAAACTCTTGTTTAATGCAGCCATTTTGAGTTTGTTCTCGTTTTTGTTATCAATGTTCCTAAAAGTGACCCATTAACAGGTGCACTGGAAGATGTATTTTTTCAGAGAGAGATGTAGATCCAGTGGTTAAATTAAGCTAATATATAACATAAAATGTCACATGCACTTGTTTTCTTCATGGCACGCATAAGGTTAGCTTGAAAAGCATTAGAAACAGGTGAGCTAAACCAAAAATGTACCCACTCCAACACGCAAATATAAGACCCAACGATAGCATAATTCAGCCATGTTTTTAACAAATGGCAGGTTGAATAGCAAATGGCTTATAACTTCCTGCTGTTGCTGGCTGTGCTGCACTACAAAGGCTAAATTGCGATCACAAATCATGGTTTATATTCATTTATCTTATATTTATTTTCTGTCCCCTTCTTCTATCACTAACAATGTTTTGCTAACATTTCCACCAATAAAAATACAGAAAGTTTTGCTACAGTTTTATTTTTTAGCAGGAAGTTTCGACTCTGTCAAGTAACTGAATTCATTATTCACCACAAGGGAGATACAGTTTTTTGACATTGTCTTAAAAATGAAGGCGACACTAAGGCATTAGCCTTCAAAGAATGGAACCAATCAGCTTTTTGAGTCTTTCTTTGCTTAAAATAGAGCTGAAGATTCAATATAATATTGAAGGAAATATTTACAACTCATCATTACTAAACTGTTAAATATGTAGATACTGATTCAGGCAAGAATTTGCAATGAAAGCAATGCAATCGTGTTTTCAAGAGTGTTTAGGGCTTTTTAGGACTAACAGTTGGAGGTGTTGAGGTTTAAGCATTTTAATTGTTCAACCAACATGACTGAGAAAGCATACCGAGTATAACTTCCTCAAAGCACAGTAACCGGTCTTGATGTCGCCCACACTAGTAACCACAAGCTCAATGTTAATCCTCGGCAAGCAGACAAGAATCCATACCTCATAAACTGGCTGAAGGCTTTGTAATTTGTGAGCTCCCTGTAGTCGTCTTCTGTGAAGGTATGATCAACATCCTCCAGGCCCCACTCCTTTGCCAGCTGGGCAGACGTCTTCTGCTCTATTGGCTGCTGAGAAGAAACCACCAACCGAACAAAAAAATTACTTTTTTTTTCCCAAGATGGTTTACTGCTACTATGCAAGAGAAGCCAATCGGGGATCTTTACTTTCGTTGTTTCCTCCTGGCTACTGTCTCGGTCCCCATCATCTTTTTTCTTTTTCTTGGTTTTCTTCTCCTTCCTTTCTTTGTGTTTCTTCTTTTTCTTTTTCTCGCCAGAGCCATAATCGCTGGCGATGCTGTCTGAGTGTTCACCATAGTCTCTTTCTCTGTCTGAGATTCGCTCTACATCGCTGTCCTGAGGGGAAGGTGGGATTTTTATTTTTATTTTTTTTAAGTTAGAATAGTGAACAGTGACAAAACCCACAGACGTAACCCGCTAAACTTACAATCTTCTTGCGTTTCTTTGTTTTGGCAGGTTTCCCCTCTTTCTCTTTCTTCTTTATGTCCTTCTTCTTCTTGGGCCGGCCTTTTTTCTTGCATGGGACCTCTCGGTCCGATATCTCTGGGTCTTCGTCTGGGTTCAAGAGAGCACAGAATGAACAATGGCTAACAAACTGAGCTAAATAATCTTGTCAAAACACTTCCCAGTAAACCAACTAATCCCTGCCGATTATAATTGCCCCCGACAAAAGACTGAATGACAAAGCTGCAGAGGTCTCAGTGACCTTTGGCCTTATCTGAACGGTGACAATTGGTGAATTAGTTCAATTGGGGAGCTCCAAGGAGATCTGACAACTGGTACGAGACACTACAAGTCAGGGATTATTGGTTTACTTAGCAATAATTACCGACAGAGCCTTGTGAAGATATTGTCAGGTCATAACCACTCAATTAAATATATTTTATTGACATAGTTAAAAGAACATGAAATTGTAAAGTGGTAGAAAAAGCATACAACTCTTGAGTGAATTTTCAACTTTCTGGAGAAGTCAACTAATCATTAAGCAGGCACATCTGACCTTTATTTAACAGCTATTTTTTGGGAGGCAGCAAAAAATGAGACTGGGTGGAGGTTCAGTTTTCAGGAGTGCAATAATTATAATGATTCAAATCAAATTATAGTCACGTGATAGAATAACTCAGTCGAATCCAAAAGAGGCATCTGTGCCAAGACTGACTGCGGTTCACAAACATTTTCTGACTGAGCTTGGGCTATTTTGGAAAGAAGAACGACAAAAGATTCAGTCGATATGTGCAAAAGCTGGTGGAGATAACCCTGAGGATTTGCAGGTGGAATTGCAGCAAAAGGTCAATGCAATACTTTATGCTGGTCTGCCATATGAAATCCTATTAAAAATATTTAAGCTTGTAAAGTTCATGGTTGTAACATGACAAAGTGTAAATTAAAGTCACTTTTGCAAGACACTGTTTGGTGTTTGTTTGACTTATATTTCTTTTAAATATTATAGATGTGAAAATTTATTGTTAATTCTATGTTGCATGACTTTGTGTTTTTGTGTTTATGATGTAAAGCACTTTGAAATGCCTTGCTGCTGAAATGTGCTATACAAATAAAATGTGATTGATTGATTTGATTGGTAAAAAGAAAATCTGACAAAATCTGGGAAACCATAAAACTTTTAAACGGAGGAAATTCTCATCATTTGAGAACTGTGAAGACAGGGTGGCACTAAATAAATATGTTTCCCTTTCAATGAATAAATGATGTGACTGTGTCTGACTGTTCTCCCACTCACATTGTTACCATTTAACCTGCAATCTGACCTGGGTTTCTGCAGCGAGGAGAGCCACAGGTAGGCAGGGGGAGATAGCTGCCTCTACTTAAAAAAGAAACAAGCAAAGCGTTAAAGCGCAGCCAAAATACTGGCTGCTTGATAAGCTAGGTCTGTCAGATTTTATTGTGTGCCCGCCTTTGTTAGTGCGCAGCGGCAACAACAGCCTCCCTCCACCCCCTCCTCCTCACTCCGGAGCCTCCGTGATTCCCGCCTAGCCGTGCAGCAGTGCGGTCCGCCTACTAAACGCCGGGGGGCGGCCGCTGCACGCACGCAGGGCTCGGTGATTCAAAGAGGCCCACCAGTGTAATGAACTGGAAAGACTCCTGCCATTCCCAATGGAGATGTGGGGGTAGCGGTGGTGGGGCAGAGGGGACCGAGACCACCGCTGTGGCCGCTGAGAGAGGTCGTCAGCGGGGTAAAGTCCTCGACACAAACACTCATTTATCCGTCTGGCACGGTTCAGCGGCGATAGAGACAAAGCAATGGAGGACTGCTCCGTTATGTTCATTCATGAAATCAGAACCATCCTAGCTTGCCAAAACGGCAACATTTGTTCTTTTTTTTTTTTTTTTTAACAAAAGACGTTTTTCAACGTGTTAGTACAGAACATATACTCATTTTCATACGAAGTTTAACAGTTAGCTCACCTTAATTAATTATTTAAAGCAAATATGCATCTTTGTTCCCTTTACCGTTACAGGCTGGCCGGCCGGCCGACCGTTAGTTCACGTTCGGCGAAAGTGCAAGTTCACAGCCAGGAGAAACTTCCAGAATAACCACGTATAGCTAGTCAATCACAGGAGCTAAAGCCACTCTGTCGTTCAATCTAACGTCTAATAAAGTCGCCGATAAGTTGTGTTAAACAGAACCGGACAGGCATTTACAAGGAAGCCTCGTTCCGACCTGTGTCGATACGACACCAATACTGTGGGGCAGTTTCTGCCTCGTTTGACTGCACTGCGAAACCAGCTCCTCGGGTATCAAATACATGTAGCCTCAGGCGGGGGAGTCCATGTTTGTTTTGCTTTTGAAGCAGCTTTTCTACACCTTCGGGGCGACCTTATTGCCCTGCGGCAGCCCGGCGTCTTCATTTGCATGTGTCCCCCTTTCATTTCAGGGAGCTGCAGTCACAGCAAAGAAGTGGTGGTGGTGGTGGTGGGGGGAGGGGATTTAACTGCAACTTTCTGGAGGATGGCTCTGCGGGCTCGCTGTGGCGAGTTTGGCTAAACTTTGCAGGGAGGTGAAGAGGTGAGAAGGAGGAAGTGGAGGGAGCGGACCGGGGGGGAGGTGTTTGTCGTCCCTTCTACTTTATATTTAGCTGCAAACATGGCACCCCAATTCACATTTAGATTCTGCAAACTATTTCATGTTGCGTTTTTTTTGTGTGTGTGTGTGTGTGTGTGTGTGTGTGTGCGCGCGCGCACCCGAGCTACTCTACTGTACAGTCCAGGACATGGATAGAGATAGCTCAGATAACAAGGCTACTTCTGTAAATAAAACAACAACAATAATAATAAAAACTATCTCCAGCCATTAAAGTGAGTTTTATTATTTCGTGTGATGTTTTTCGCGCGTTCCCGACCGCGACCTGTCCTGCCTGTCCTTTTTTTCCTCCCTTTTTTCTTCTTCTTCTTCTTCTGCTTCGTCTTCTTCTTCTTTTCTCGTTTTTAGCAGCTAGCCTACCGTACCTGGCGCGACTGGTGGCGTTGCAGTTTCCCGAGGCGCCGCCGGCGAGTTTATGTCGCTTGCGTTCTCGTCCAGCTCTCCGTCGTCCTCGTCGTCTTCTTCATCAAAATCTCCTCCCTCGGAATTAACCACCATGCCCTCGTCTTCCTCGCAGGAGCGGAGAGGAGAGGACATTATTATATTCCTGCTGTCATTGGCGGCTCCGTCCTTGTGTTCAGTGTTTTAAAAAAATAAAAAAATATTTTTAAAAAATTAAATACAACACAAAACCACGTAGCTGTAATTCTTGCAGCGGATGCAGTGTTATTTATTTAATATTCAAATCGGCACGGGAGAAAAGTAGGGGGGCGTTTTGGAATATTTTACACTAAGGCTGAGCAACAAAGATGGCCGCCCTCTTATATTTATTTTTTAACAACCCCCCAATAAGAAAAAAAAAATCCCCTTACATAAAAAATGGCTGACTATATTATTTCAGAACGCACCCCCTCCCTTTTTCTCTCTCTCTCTCGCCCTCTCTCTTTCTCTCTCTCAGTCTCTCTCCCTGTGCGCGCCCCCCTCCCTCGTTAAAAACGTACACATTGTTACAAGGAAAAAAAGGGGTGTGTGAGTGCATGTAAGTTACATTGTTACTTGTTTGTTTCTTCTCGGGTCTGCTCCCCCCGTCAGCCCCCCCAGTTTTTCTCCCTCTCTTTTTCTCCCTCCCAAGTCCGGATCAGTCACGAATCCGGATCTGTCAGTGTCACTGCCAAGATCACACACACCGTCTGCAATGCAGAGCCCGACACAAATATATCAAGTATATTCTCCTGAGCCCCCCACCATCACCACCACCACATCCCCCTTATCACCGCTGGATATAATAAAATATATTTTGGAGCAGCGGTGTGTTTGTGCGTGTGCGCGCTCACGAGTCTGTGAGTGAGTGCTGGGGAGGGATTCAGAGAGAGAGAGAAAGGGGGGCGGGAGAGGAAGAGTGGGGTGGGGGGGCTGTGTTGGGGGGGGTTGGGGAAAAAAATCTGCCGCAGCCATGCCCAGCCTTACATCAGATTGTATTGCTTAAAAATTAACTACTTGTGGTGGGGACTGAAGTGTTTTGGTGAAATGCAAAACTACGCTTCCACTCCGACGCGCGGCCGCAGCGAGCGCGGCAGAGCGCTGGAACGTGAGCGTGCAAGCCGTGCAGAGGTCTGAAAGAGGAGCAGAGACGGTTTCTGAGCTGTAAATCTGAGCGCTCATTAGCAGCGGGATGTGTCAGCCGGATGGCAGTAAGGCCATGGGAATCCCTCCCCAGACAGCCCCCCTCAGTGGCTGCTGCTGCTGCTGCTGCTGCTGCTCAGGGCACTTTTTGTTTTTTTTTGACTAAATGATTATTTTTGACCGCCTTTGTGAACTCAAGTGCAGTCAGAATGAAAACAAAAAGCATATTTGGGTGTGAAACGTTTCTTTAACCTCTCACATGAAGCGCGTTGGGTTTCGCTGCGATTTTACGAGACCAAAACAAAGAAGGGAATTAAATGAAACATTCCTTACAACAAAAAATAACCGCTTGCGAAGAAATATTTGAAAAGTGTGGCGTACATTTAATTGGGGTTGGTATACCACTTGTAAATGACAAAGTCCTGCTAAATATGCATAGGCGAGAATGAAAAACGGGGTGGCTTTTTCTGATGTTTTGAAAGCAAAAAAGTAGAAAAAAAACCTTGAGAAACAATAACTGTGTCTTCAGTCAGGGGCTTCGTCAAATTTGCTGTGATACAGGTGGCTACAGGAGATCTTTCCTGAATTTGAATTAATCATGTATTCCAGGTGAATGTTTGGACTAGACCTCATTGCAGTGTTCCACAACAAAAATCACAGTAGTGGGAGGCTTCAAAGTTCACCTCAGGGTCACGCTATTTACACTTCACAATAGAAGAGGCCAGCTCATCTAAACGAGTAAAACAACACTGAGGCGGTGACCCCGTCTGTGACCTTTTTTGCGTCCTTCGCTCCTCTTCCCAGGTCGGCGGCCGAGGCGCCGACACCCAGAGGACAACCTGCTGATCACTTCCAGCCTCGTCTGCCGCAACAGGTGCCTGAGCCGCTGCGAGTGAGAGAGGAGGAATTTGTCAGTGCCCCGATCCAAACCCAACATCTGCCAAGGCGGCGAGAGACGGTGCATGGCGAGAGAGACGCTGGTAGAGCAGTGTGTGCGCGACGAGGAAGATCGTGTGTCTGGAGCCCACCCTCACCCCTCCCCGCTGCCCCACACACCGAGGCCCTGGCCACCGAGGTGTCAGCGGGTGACAGGCTGAGAGTCTGGCGAGACGACCTCGCTTACTGTGCAGCTTGTACGCCCTCACCCACATTATCTGCAGTCATAATTGTGCGTGTGTCCCTGTGTGTGACTGCAAGATGAAAAGGGGGGGTGAAGCCAGCCAGGAAGCTCCCCCCTCCACCTCCTACCCCACCTGCCTCCCAGACAGAATTTGGACTGCTGTGCCGAGATTACCCAGTAGCCTCCCTCCTCCTCTTCCCCCAAAGCCTCCCGTGTCCGTTTGGCAGGCAGACGTGTCAGGGATAAGAGAGAGAAAGTAGCCTCCCCTGGGTGCTGTGCTCCAGCTAACCCAGATTTTATGCAGTGTGACACAGAGGAAGACACCGGCTCCTGTGCCGCGCTCAGAGCTGGCTGTCTGAACCCGGGCGGGCCCGCGAGCTGCAACAGCTTAAGTAAGAGCCAGGCAGAGCAAGTCAGAGCAGGAGCCCAGAGAGGAGCCCATTATTGCCTGAATTCGTTTCGGTGAGGCAAGTCCCACTCTCAGCAAAGGTTTACGTAATAGGACTTCTTCCAAATTATAGCCAGTTTGTTCGGGGTTTTTTTTTCTCTCATCAAGTCTTTTAAGAGATTTAGAAGAGATTAAATCTGTGCCTCACTCTGTGGTACAGATTTGTGCCTTATCACTGATAAAGTTATCACTGTGCCAGCGTTAACTTTAACTGAAAATATTACATTTGTTTAGATCATTTTTTCTTACTTACCATATCTTCCCTTACTTTTTGACAATATTGAATCATAGGTCTTGGTTTAATAATTTCAGGTGTTAGAACTGAGGCCCATTCCTGCTGTCAGAACCGCTGTAAGTGGGTCAGGTTTGTGGGCCGCCTCGCTCGCCGCTCACCTTTTCAGCTCTGCACACAAATTGCCGAAATGACTGAAATCAGGCCTTTATGAATTATGGGCTTCAAAACAGTGTTCTTAAGCTACTTTGTAATTGTTTGGCTTTCCATTTGTTTGTGCCCTGGCTTTAACTTCCAGGTTAGCATCTCGAAATGTTGCTGCCATGTTTCCATGCGATGTTTGTTACCCGTCATGCCGTCTGCTTCGCACACCAGCAATACAGACATCAGCCAAACACCCCATACGGTGACGCCGTCACACCTTCACAGTCGACACGTTTCATGTTCAGTGTCATTAGACAAATTGACAACTCTCCATATGTTATGGTATTTGTCCCTGAGTCCATTTGCAAACTGTATTTTTTTTTTAAATGTTGCTTTTGGAATAATGGCTTCTTTCTCTGAGTGACCCTTTAGCTCATGCAGTTACATGACTCGTTTCCTTGTGGATACTAATACTTTCACTTTGTATTTTTACAAGATATTGTCCTTTTATTCTGGGGTTGATGCATTTCACTTTAAAACATGTTTATATATTTATGACGCACGAGCCGATGGCTGGAAATTCCCATCCTTCAGAGATCCAGACAAACCAGATTCGTTTGGGACCATAATTCTCTTCCTAATGTCTGTTGATTTTTTTTTTTTTTTGTATCAAAGGCTGATTTGAATTCACAAAATGTTCCTCCACTGAACTCAAATAGGTTGAATTATTCCATTAGAAGCTTGCATCGCCATTACATCATCATTGGTAGACAGTATTTGTAGTGTATGTAAATTTTTTACTTCAGAGAGTCATAAAATATTCAGAATTTATTTTGTGTTACTCTTGATTGACCTTATACAGAAAATATTTGATCTGATTAAATGTTAGACTTTGACTGTAATAATAATAATAATAATACAAAAAGACTTCCAAACAAACTGATATTTGTGATGTTTGTCAAAGTGATTTTTGCTTTTGTTTATTTCATGTCACTGAGGTTACTGGTAAATGGTATTTTTCTGCGAGAAAGCAATGTTTATGGATCGAAATGGCTTTAAACTTAAGGAATATTTTTTCGAAACCAAATAAATAATCTGATTGTCATCATAACTCATTTTAGCAACACTATGATATTTAAACGAAACCTCTACTTGTCAGCTTTTGTTGTGCAAACAGTGCAGAATCAAACTGTGCAATCAGGATTTTCCTGCAGTGAGGACTTCTAGGCTTAGTGGTCTAACTTTAATAAAGGTTGTTTATTTGTATTATTTGTACATCCACAGTGTTTTTTGTTTTTAGCCTGTGATTGTTTGTTATAATGTAAGGCACTTTGAAATGCCTTATTGCTGAAATGTGCTATACAAATAAAATTTGATTTGATTTGATTTGATTTAGCCTAGTACTCTGAAAAAAATGTCCGGGGTTTTAAAAACAAACTTGTCCATCTCCATTCTGACTCAATATGTTTCAATATGGGTCCACAGCATTGTTGACTGGCGTTAGTTGCATTAGTGCGCCCCCTACAGGAATCTCTGGAACAGGGATATTCATCATACCGTTTTGTTTTTGTAAAGAAATCTAAGAGATTTGCTTTAATAAATCAATAGCCCTGATTTTGTACACTATGCCTGCCACTTGGTTATGTCGCTCCATGTACGCTTTCCCTGCCAGTATCTTGCACCCTGCTGTGATGTGCTGGACTGTCTCAGGGGCCTCCTTGCACAACCTACACCTTGGGTCTTGTCTGGTGTGGTAGATCTGGGCCTCTATTGCTCTGGTGTTTAGGGCCTGTTCCTGGGCGGCCAGGATGAGGGCCTCTGTGCTGTCCTTGAGTCCAGCTTTTTCCAGTCATTGGTAGGATTTACTGATATCAGCCACTTGGGTTATTTGCTGGTGGTACATCCCATGTAACGGCTTGTCCTCCCATGATGGTATCTCTGGCACTTCAACCTCCGTTCCCTGTTGTCTGAGACATTCACTGAGCACATTGTCTGTTGAGGCTTTGTCCCTGATGTATTTATGGATCTTAGTTGTTTCGTCCTGGACAGTGGTTCTCACACTCACTAGTCCTCTGCCTCCGTCCTTGCGGCTCGTGTACAGTCTCAGGGTGCTGGATTTGGGGTGGAACCCTCCATGCATGGTTAGTAGCTTTCTAGTCTTAATATCTGTGGCTTTTATCTCCTCCTTTGGCCAGCTAATTATTCCAGCAGGGTATCTGATTACTGGCAGGGCATAGCTGTTTATCGCACGGATTTTGTTCTTGCCATTGAGCTGGCTTCTCAGGACTTGCCTTATTCGTTGGAGGT